GAGAGGAGGGGCGCCCGCCTACGAGGGATCCAACTGCGGGGGAGGCGTTGCCCGCAAGGCCGAAATGCGTGTGCATTGACGGTCTTCTCCTGCACCGAATCCGGAGCGCCGTGGAAAGTTTTGAAGGCGCAGGTATGGCCTGGCCACATTATCCTTTTCCCCAGATCGGGAGGCCAGAGGAAGGATCAAGTGTCTTTAGGTTAACTGTCAGGTGAGGCGCCTGAACTGCATCTTTCTGGATACTGGACTCCGGAGAAATCATCATCAAGTGAATGGCTTTCCTGTTCTCGGCTAGAGCTTTCTTGCTGCCTTGCTCATAGTAACTGCTTGCAGTTAGTTAAATCAGGCTGGGCTTTGCCTTCCGGAACAAACAGGCCTTTTCCTCAGGTGGGAGGGTTATAGCGTGGTTAACCCCAATTCCTCTGCCTTTATGAAAAGGCGTACAGTTCAGCCCGATGGTGCTGCCAGGGGGCCCCACCTTCGTGGTCTAAGCTCCAACCACCCAGCCGTGCAGCTGAGCCCTGAGCCGGGGGGGGGAGGTGAGTACAAACAGGCCTTGGCTCCCCTTCTTCTGCTCGCAAAACACATAGAGTAGTGGCCGTTAAACTTTCCTAAAATAGTGTGGAGACTTTCTCGCCTTTCCTGCGCGAAGCTCCCCATATTATAAACGGACTTAATTCTAGCAAGGGAAGCCAGAATTCAAGGGGAGGATTTACTCGATCTCTGGTCGCTGTCCAGATAAGTATTTAACTAATTCCAAGCAACTGTGGCATATATTTTTAAGACTTTTGAAAGACCAGTTTTGAAGTAGAAGACGAAACTTTGGTGCAACTTTTTTGGCAGCTGGATACCTGTGAATGTCACCTCAAAATGCCAGGGTATCATGTAATCGATAAGCCTTCTCTCTTAATGCTAAGTGTTTATTTTTAACAAAGCAGAGGGTAGAAGTTATGCACTGCTTCCATCTACCATAGTCCTAACATCACTGACCTAAAAGGTCTGGAGCAATTTGACTCTAGGTTTATTTACTATCTTCTGCTTGGACTGATAAACAGGCTTATGGTGGGTATGGTGTATAATTTTTTTTTTAAATCTTGACTTCAGTATTTTTCTTAGCACATTTCCTTCAGGACTTAAATGGTTTTATCACATGCAGTGAGTATCTTCAGAAGCTCCCATTCTTAGAGTAGAGGACACACACTTGGGTGTGCGCATAACTGGGTTTTGAAGGGAATCAGATTTGGATTGTCTGGCTGTACAGTACCAGTGGGGAACAGAGGATTGTGTTTCATCTCAAACTGAGAGTGGAAGGAGTCAGTGAGAAAGAGATAGGAGGGGGTGCAAATTCTGATCTCTTGTGTTGAGGGTATTAACCATATGGTTCTCCCAGAGGTAGGATGTGGACTTCACACTTCAGAAACTACTCACCACCTCTGTGATGTACCAACCAAACAGCACAAGTTTGGGGGAATCTGGTAGCCTTTTCCTATTGAGTCAGCCTTCTCAAAATGTTAGCTCATCTTCCTCTTCCTACCTCAAGACAAGTTAAACTCCCATTACTGTGAACTCGCCCTTCTCCTTTAGCAAATCTTCCATAAAGCAGGTTCTGTGACTTGGATGCTTTAAAAACAGGCACATTTCCCACACTTCTGATTATTTCCATGCAAAAGACATTATAATAGTGCCTGTTGTATTTAATCTCCTGCACTTGAAAATGGGTAAATCCTTATGAAGTGTTTGAGGAGGCCACGTTCTTTTCTCCAAGGAGGAGCATATCAAAAGTGGCGTTTTGAACAATAAAATAATGCATCTAAAATATCTAATGAGTCAAGTAGGAAGAGTAGGGAGCCAGGTTTTGTACAGCGGGGCAGAGAATACAGAACTGAAAGTCAGGGGCGATCATACACACAAGCTAATCTCTTTGGCCAAGTCTTTACCAGTGAAGTAAAACCTGGCATAAGACAATTCTTAAAAGAATGATTCATTATAACTTTAATTTTAGTGGAAAAACAGGTGGCTTCCTGAGGCTACAATTTTCAAAGTGGCCAAAATCATGGCCAAAGAAAACCCATGTGGCTGTGAAAATTAAACGTGGAGTCTTCTCTGAGGTTGGCCTGTTCTCTCTAGCTGAGGCCTGGAGTCCAAGCTCCACGTGTCACTTCTCAAGAATGAAATCACCCTTCAGTGAGCTCTTCCATCATGTGCTCTGGGCTTCACGGGAAAAGTCATTTTATTTCCAGACTTGATTTTCTTTGTCAAACTGCAGGATGCTCTTAGTATCAGATGCATAAAGCCATGTTATGATTTGTTTACATACTTGTTCGCTTTGGCAACCATCTGAGGTTTTTCCTTCCCACTTACTTTTCTCAGCCTGTAGCTGAGTTTTTTACTCTGTTTTGAGCTTGGCCCCACCTCCTTTTTCTGGGGGTGACAAGAGAGCTTTGGGGGTATGTTGCCAGTAGGTCCTTCTTGCCCCCCAGTGGGGGACTGCTTCCTTCTTTGAAGTTGTATTTTGGTATCTCCCCTTGAATACCTCTGGTGGTTTCAGCCTAAAACATCTACCAGGTAATAATTAGTGACTAGTGAGGCTAAAGATTCAGGAAAATTGTCCTTGGTGTAATTCCAGGAGACACACAATTTAAATGGTGGGCTTTAAAAAAATCCTATCATGTATAGCAACTAGCCAAAGTGGCAGAGATACTGCGGATCTAGGGGTTCGCCAGCTGCCACTGGGGTGGGCTTGTCCAAAGATAAGGTAAACTCATCCAGTGGTTTGAGGGAAAAAATGATTAATTATAACTTTAATTTTAGTTGAGTTATACCTTTATAATTCCTATTAATTTTACCTTTCCTTAGGGAAAGTCATCAGTGTGACCTTGTCAAATTGAGCGCTTATTGGAAACGTTAGAGGAAGCAAAATGTAAGGCTGTAATTCCTGTCACCTTCCCCAGCGCTAACTGCGTTTAGAATCCTGTGTTGCTGAGAAATGGCGTTTTGCTTTACTTCTGTCTCTGACCCAGGGAGCTGATTCTTCAGGATGTGTTGTCGTAGGGGGTATGGCTTGCTCAGAACAAGCACTTTTTAAAATGCCAAGTCTTAGTTCTGCTTTCCTGCTGGCCTGAGGCAGCAAAGTGGTGATGGGAAATGATTTTATAGGAACTTGGTGGCACGATTGCCTTTAGGGAAATTCCTGAAGGTTGTGGCATGTTCATCTTGTATGGGTAGCTCTAGTGGAAAATGAAAAGCCCCTGTAGTCTCTCTTTTCTGGGTGCTCCTCAGAATTAGAATGACCATGCCATTTATGTCCTGACAGCTGTGCTGGGAAGGTAACTAAGTTTTCTTTCTTTGACTTTTTTTTTTTCTTTAATTTCCTTCACTATCCAACTATCCCAGATCCTGATCATTTTCTCCCTCTCTTTCGTGAGATTAGCACATCATGAGAAAATCAGTTCATTTAGGAACTGGTGTGAAAAACAAAACCCAACAAAACTCATGTGGGAGTTCTTGACATGGGGCTAAAATCTTCCATCTGCCATATTGCCCTGGGACATTCACCCTGGGGCCAACATGGTCATTCCTGTAGAAACACTGGATTTTTAATCTTTGCATTTTCTCTCCACTCCCATCCACCACACACAGACTAAGGGCAGGGAAATATTTGATTACTTAATACGTACTATTGGACTCTTTGAAATAGCTTATTTTAACTTATAATGGTAACTCAAGAATTCATATCATTAAAAATCAAGAAAATATGGAAAAGTTGAAGAAGAGAATTAAGATCACCTATAATACTACTTCACAGAGATTACCAATTTTTTTCTGGTGTATGCCCTTCTAGACTTTTTAAATGTATATATGTGTGTGTGTGTGTGTGTATCTCCACATTTTTGGAAAAATGAGATCTCAATATGTTTACTTTGTAATTCTGAAAAAACTTAACAGTTATAGGCATCTTTAATCAATACAAAGTTGCAAATAGATTTGCAGTGAACATTTCTGAAACCGTCATTTTGACTGATTATTTCAACACTTGTAATACAAATCCATAGAAGTTTGATTTCTAGACCACAGATACTAGTCTAGATACTGCCCAAGTGCCCTTCAAAAATTTACATTTCCCTTCAATAGCAGTTTTTTTTTGCATTATTGATAAATAAAATCTATGATAGACTTTCACCAATCTGACTATTAGTACATTTTTGTTGTTGTTAAATGTTCATTAGTCTGTTCTGACCCTTTACCTCTTACTGTATTGAGTTGACCTCTTATTACTAATTTGGAGATCTCTACAGGTAATAGTCAACTTTTGCCTGTTACATTGTAGACATTTTTTCCCAGTCTGTCTTTTAACTTTTTGAAGTCTTAAATTTTTCTGTTAAAATCTGTCATTCATTTTCATTGGCTTCTGAATTCTCTTACGCATAGAAAGGCGTGTTAAATTATGTTTTTTAAAAAAATTCTATATCTTATGCTTCTATCATTTTTATTTTTTTAATGTGTCTCAGTTTTATTTTGCATTTTGCATCCCCTGAGGATCGCAGGTTTTTATAATAGAAATTCATTGAATAATTCATTCTTTGGAAAGACTTCAGGAATATTAATTGAAGTAAAACACAGTTTCTAATCAGCAAACCAAGCAACTAAATTGCCTAAAACTCTCTAATATATCTTGGCTAAGCAAGACTTTTAAGTATATTTTTAATTCAGTTTTTCACGTCAATATTGTGGACTGTCTGTTGTTGTGGTTGTGCTTTTTCTGTTACATTTGTTGTTGCTGTTTTTCATTTGATCTTAGTGGGTACTAGCCAAGGGAAAGTTCATGCAGTTAGGGTTGTCATCTTCTTCACTGGCTCATTTCTTTTT